GGGGGGGGGGGGGGGTGTTGGCTAACACACTTGTGAGTAGTGGCATGATTACAGATGGCACCCTGGATCAAAGATTAATCTCCCGGAGATCAAAATGAACACACGACACTGGTTATCCTCGATCTGAAATGATCTCATGTGCTTATTCAGCAAAGTCCTTAGATGATTTGGCCTCTTAAAAGGAACGCAAGTGTCAAGACAGTTATCAACCAAGTAGGGTACCAGATGACAGATCCACCCAACACTCGTCTGAGGTTTCCTTTCTTTTTAAAACTGGTAACCGCTGGACTGTGATTGGGTTATGATGTGTCAGTGTTTAGGGACAGTGATTAGGTTCATCCTGGCCTCTCTGACCCTAGGGACCATTTCCATTGAGGCAGAGAGCAGAAGTAGTGGGTGTTTCCACGCCTCCCCCACTCCCAGACCCTCCTTGCCAACTCTCTGGGCTCCCCGTTCTTTCATTCCAAAGACGTCTTGGATGGAGATGTTTCTGCCCCACTGGGCTGGGTAGGTTCACTTTAACATCTCTGGTTGGGGGATCCTGACGGTGAAAATCCACAGACAGAGGGTATGGAAAATATATCAAATCGTACCAAAAAGGGGGCAAGAGTCTGTTTGCTTTCTAGGAAGGGTTAACCTATGGCCAGATGTAACTTCTACATAATTAAACTGGGCACTGTACATTATGTCATCTTCCTCTAAGATAATGTTCTTGGTCGTAAGAGAGAGATCCTGAATAGCTGATCACATTTGGACTAATATCCCTACGGTTTTCAGGCCTCCATGTGGAACGAGACGAGACACAAGGCCGTGGCCTTAGAATTGGAGGGTTGGGGATCATTTCCCACTGCCAGGGGCAGGCTGGGGAGGAGTTTGTTCTCGATGAGTTTCATACTGCGCTCTGTAAGATGGGGTGCACAAACTGGGGGTTGACATACGAGAACCCTTCAAAATCAGACTGGTCTATGTTAGCGATGACCAGTTGATCGGGCGGTGTTAAGACAGGTTGCCCTCGTGTGAAGAACTTGTCAAAGTTTTCTGCTCCTTTGCCACACTGTGGAGAAAAAAGGAGAAGAAGGAAAGGTCAGTAGGTATTACAAAGCGCAGAGAGCGGCTCTCTGAGAGCCTCCTGTGGGGAGGTGCGTGGCCCGGGGGCGTTGGGGCTGGTTAGGCAGGAAGAATCTTGGGGGACTTGCAGGTCTGTTGGATTCAGAAGCCAGGCACAGCCAACGCCACCGGCGAGTCACTCAACTGTAAATCTTCACACACCCCTGGTGGAGATGCACTGCTGGCAGTAAGGAAGCAACAGGGAGAAAGCTTCTTATTTCATGTCCACCTCGCTGCACAAGTGGAGCTGTGAGCGCCAACATCACACACGCAGGGCTGTCAGCCGTGGCTCCATGTTGCAAGACCAGGATGCTGGTGGTTACCCCTGAACCCAGAGGGTGAGATCACTGCCCCCCACTTGGTTCACCGCAACAATATTTGCAATTAAGTAAAAGCCATATATCTTTGCCTTCCAACTGGGACGTTCTAGAAACTCCAGCCGCTAAGTCAGTCTTAAAGCAACATGGGGTAGGTGTGGTGGCAAGGTTGGGAGATTGGCTCCTGGGTCCAGCTGGAATTCAGAACATCTAGATCGAGCTGGGCCACTGGCAGACAGATTGATGTGGGGCTCATTTGCAGGACAGTCTCAGGCTGGAGGAGGTTTGCACAGGGCCCTGGGGAGGCAGAGTACAGCCTGCTGCCTGTCTTGGATAGTCCTCTCCTCCAGGTTCCCCAGGGCACACTGTGCAGATGGGGGCTACGGGTAGAGCTGCCCTGTTAGCATGTCTGAGAAACAAGCCGTTGAAGCAGCTTTGCTTGGGAGCCTCACACCAAAGGTGGCGGGGGGTGGAGGGGACTGTACTCCTCACTTTTCCAGCCACCCAGAAGGGTTGTAGCATATTGAAGTCCCTGGGATTCCAGGGTGACTCTCAGAGCTGGGAGTTTCACTGGTGATATTAATAATGATTTTCAATGTTACAAATTATTGCCCTTTTACCCACTGGTAGTACCACAGGGGCAACAAGGATTAATTCTGAGTTAGCAAAGTTTGAAACTACCCAGGTATTCTCTGACCTTTAACAGAAGATAGTTGTAGGTAAACTGTGAAGTGGGGTCCACCCACTTTCCTCACCTGTAAAATGGGGAGAATAACCGTACCTCCCTCCCTGGGCTGTTATGGAGGTTACAGGTACAGAGTTTTGCACAGAACACAGTGTGTGGTAGGAGCTTAGTGCGTATTGTTGGTATCTTTATAAGGCCAGTCTAGTGTCATGGACCGCACCTTCTTTCATATCCTTCTCTATCTTCTAAAATGTTTTCTTGAGAATCTAGTTTTGTTATAATTCTTTTCATCACATGAAAGCCTGCTGCTAAGTACCTGTTGAGGAGGAAAGCATGTCATAAATTCAAAGCAAGGTCTTCATAACTCATGACTTTCCTTTATGGGGTTATTTTCATTTTAATAAGCAACCATCCACTCATAAACCCAGGAGATGTCACGTTGCAGTGACTTGTGGGTATGTGGGGGACGAGTGTGGTGGGGGAGACGGGATGAGAGGCAGGGGGTTGTTTGAGGGCATCAAGTCACTCTACAGAAGCCACACAGACTGTGAGGACCACTCATCACACAGGCCCCACCTCCCACAAGTGGGACAGCAAAGCTTCTGCTTGCGCTCCACGGTGCCTTCTCCTCGGAAGAGCACAAGGCACTTCAAAGCAGAGGCCAGCAGAGGCAGGGTCTGCAGCACGTTATCGCCCCACATGCACAGGCCATTCGGAGCCACTGGCAAAAGCGCTTCAAGAAAGAAAGAGGGGCACACTCTTTCTTCCCAGGAATTAGTCAGGAGTCTGCACCTGACTCATCAGTTACACAAACAAGTAGGGACCAGCTGCCGTTGGGGCACCACTTTCAGACACTCCTGTGATGATGGTAACAACTAAAGAAATAGTCTTCTTTTGGATATACCAGTGGTTCTCAACCAGCAATGATTCTGCCCCCTCAGGAACCCACTTTTGGTTGTGACGACTTGGGCAGGGGGTGCTGAAGAGCACGCTGCTGATCACCCTACAGTGCACAGGACAGCCCATCCCCCAACAGAGAATGATCAGCTCAAAACGTCAACAGCGCTGCTGCTGGGAAACCCTGGGGTGTCCCAGGCTTGTGATGTGGGTGAGGAGCTCCCAGGGTCAGTGTCAGGCCAAATGTGGGGGCCAAACATAGAAATCAGGCAGGAAGGGCAAGAGGTGGGAGCAGAAAAGGGAGAGCTGCCGGAGCCCAAGGCGAGAACATGGTGAGCAGGAAAAGGCCCCTGTGGAAGCTGATGAACCAACTCCCACTGCCTGGAAGAATGCAAGGAGTCCGGGTCATCGTTCCCAGAGGCCAGGATGTGTGCTCCCTCAATAAGAGATCATCTCCCCTTCTCTTAGGCTCACTAACCATGCAAAGATGAGCAGGAAGGAATTTTGGGGGGCGGGAAACCAGTAAAAGTAGGTGAGTCTGTAAAAAGAAGAGCAAGGCCAGCCAGGATAAGATGTTTTTCTTCCGGCTGTCCAGCTACCTGCCTAGCTCTAGATTTATCCATTTGTTCTGTGAAAAGATGGCCCAGGTCTGACCCATCCCTTTGAGTACCGTCTTCATGGTATTCACAAATCACATTCCAATGGGAAGTTTCTAAAAGCCATGGCTTTATTGCAAAAGAAAAATAAAATGCAAATTGAAAGGAGAGTTTCCAGGATCTAAAGGGGACCCCATAAACCTCAACACTGAGAAGCCTGGGATGGATGCTCGAGCACATCACATTCTAAAGCGGGTGTCCAGAGGTGGGTTACTCCTAAGGCACGTCCACTGCTTGCAGAGCCAAGCACTGTAATAAATGGGGCAAAAGACCTTGCTGGTTAAAGCCTCGTGCTACATCTGTGCTGAGGATAGCAGGACTAAAGGGAGAATGATGGAGTCCGACCGCGGCTCTGCGTCACACCGAACGGCAACACCACTGTCAGTCTCAGAACTGCTCACCACCAGAAACACCTCCCCCTTCTTTCTCACTCTGCATCTGGAATTTTCCCTGATCTCAAAGAGAGTAATATTTTAACAAATGAAAGCTTTTCTTAAACTGGTTCACTTCGGTGGAGAGATCAGAGGCAGGGACAGGCCGAGGGCAAAGAGTAAAAACCGACCCACTGAAGTTCAGACATATCAAGAGTGTGACAAAAAGGGACTAAGAGTGTATCTTAGCAAGAAATGGGGAGGAAAGCCCTGGAAAAGCTGGAGGCTGACATCTGAAGATAATATAAGAGCCAAGATTCAGAAAGACTTTTCGTTTTTTTGTTTTTTGTTTTTTTTCCTTTTTGTCTTTTTTTGTGTCCGGCAACGGATCGCAACCCTCAGTGTCGCGCCCGTACCGGACCGGGACCGGCAACGGGATCGCAACCGTCGGTGTTGCACCCGCACCTCGCTCAACCAGTGAGTGGCCGGTCTGTATGTGGGATCTGAACCCTCGGCGGGAGCGCTGCGCTCCCAAGCGGCGCACTGTAGCAGTGTGCTACCGGGCCGGCCCCAGAAAGACTTTTTATTCCGAGAGAGATCACACCGTGACGAGGTCTCCCTGCCCCACAAAAGGTCAGGGGAAGCATGGCTGTTTTTACCACAGGTTTGTACTGTGAGAAGTATCACCTGTTATTACACAATGGAGGGTCTCTCAAGGCTTTAAAAATGAGCCCTCCACAATTCTTACCAAAATTAGACCCAGAAACAGACAATTTCCTTTAAGTCAAATTGGGGAAGGTCTTGAGTTACTTGTTTTCAAGCTGTTTACATGGAGGACTCCAACTATTTCCTGTCACCACCATCTCTACTGAAAAGAATAATGGAAATCACAGCTCTTCGGATCCTGGGGACAACAGCTTCAACAAGCCCCTGCATTCCCAATGTAGAAGACAGTCTTCCTACTTCCTACAATCAGCCTCACTCACAACCTGGGCTTGATGGGCAGTGGCCTCAGGCGCCAACCTTGGATGGGAACAGGGAACAAAAAGAGGCACCATGGCAGGTTAAGGGGGTGCCTAGTGGTGCTTGTGGGTGTGCGAGTGAGTGAGCAAGTAAAAAATGAAGCTAGCCTGACTGCAGACCCCCTCCCAACATTCCTGGGGGATGCAGTGGGAGGGCTGTTACCACAGCTATTTGAAGGGCAGCCTCCATGGCCAGCTGTGACAATTGGCCAGTTTGGATTGTCCATGGCCTCGGAGCTCTAGGCTACCCAAGAACACACAACAGCTAAAAGCAACTTGTGAGCAGAACCCCTGGGCTGGGTCTGCACTGTCTTCACTCCCAAAGGCCACTGTACCTTTTGCCAACTGAGGCTTCTGTTATCTGGGATGTGATATGCATCTGGAATGTGACAACTGGTGAGGGACCAAGAGGGAGGGGAAGGAGGGTGGCCCAAACCTGACTGGGCTGTGTGAGCCCAGACTAGTTCCCTGGTAGTGCCTGAGAGCAGGTGAGGTCTTGTATTCACTGGGCAGTGTTGATACCTGAGAGAAAGTGGGGGGCCCAGCCGGTGAGGGACCAGACCAGAGATCAAAAGCCCCAAGGTAGAGCTTAGGGCAACTCACTGCATCTCTCTGTAAAGGTCAAATGGGGATGTGACTATCCACCTGCCCAGGCTATTGTGCAGATCAAGGGAACTAGTGCATGTGAGGTCCTTTCTCAGAGATGAAGCCTGATACAGACATAAGGTATGATGGGTGTAGCAAATGCCCAGCACATACAAGGCGTGTGATCAATAACCTACCCTCTCCCCCACCCCACCTCTGGATTCAGAAATTAACTCCTTTGCTATTTTTGACATTCCTACCCATTTGGTGAAATTATCACATAATAAAACAAGCCCAGAAGAAATCAGGCATGGTAAAGACGGTAGAGAGCACAGAAAGACGTGGACCCCACGTGGAATCTGGGCTTGCAATGCTTCCCCTCCAAGCCCTGTGTGGTGGAGGGGCCGCTCACAA